GCCCAGACTATTCTGTAGAGTTTTACCAAGGACTAGTGTGTTCATCAAAACAAAGCAGTTCACTGTGAAAATCTACCAAGGATTACAATGTTCAGCAAAATATTATACTTTTGTCCTTGAGTAACAGGTGGCTCTGACTAGTTGGAATTTTGCTAATGAGTAAAGATAGCCATATATGGATGGTAGAAGTTCTATTGGCTCTCTTAGGTAAGATAGAAAGTAAACCGCTTGAAAAAACACTCTTGTTATTCAAGAAATTGGCCAAGAGAATCTGCGCATGCTCCGGGGAAAAAAAAACAAAGTGAGAAAGACTATGAGCCTTCCTCCCAAAGACCCCCGAAGACGACCACCAGGAGGCAATGCGCAGGTGCAAAGAGACATAAACTGCTGACATCAGCCTTTCTAACTAATCCGGCCTTACTCATGCGTATGTATGTTTGTGTTATATAATCCAATGAATATGGATAGCCACACTTCATGAGTTTTTGGTAAAATGGGCGGTGGGTGTGCAAGCTTTGTGGAGAGATCCCCTTGCACCCCAGCGCTGGAGTAAATATACCTGCTGTATAACTCTATTCGAGTTGTAGAGTCTTTTTTCCGCAAATCACATCCTAAGTGTCTGCTGCAGGAGCAGGATTAGGAAAAGCTACTGACTTCTAAACAGCCACAGTTAAGGAAGAAAACACTCCTTCGTTAAGTAGTAGTCTACCCAGAATTAGCAATAACTAATAACTACCTGGTAGTAATCTACCTAGAATTAGCAATAAGTTTCACCGTCTTTGAAACCTTCTAGTTAACTTCACACAATTCCATCATTAAGTATCTCTGCATTAGTGAAACCAGTTAAGAAACATTCCATCAACAAAAAAAGAGGCTTCTCCTTCCCATTATATCTTCCACAGTTCAATACACCTTTTTGTTTGCATCAATTTGCTCATGAGAACTAGAGTCCCGTCCTGGCATTTCCTGCCTTTGACAGAAGCTCAGCAAGAAGATAATGATGTTCCCAGTCAGCACAAAGCACATTGGCTGCCAATGCATAGAAGATGAGAGGAGTATTTGTCTTTTAAAGTACCTTTTTATTTTAGTGTTAAGCGCACTATCAAATTCAAGGGCTTTCTTTTGTGAAAGAGATCTTTGTTAAACCTCACATGCTTTTAGGTTGCACCTACCTCAGGCTACACTACGGCATTAATGCCAAGCCACAACTCAATTAGGACTTTAAATGGACTTTCATTTTATATACATGCTTTTTGTCTAAGGCAAGCTTAATACAACCCCCCCAGCAGAAGGGGTTTTAAAGAAGCACAAATGTCAAAAGATCCCCAAACACTTAACCTGAGCTCTGCCCTGCCAATGTGTCTCTTTTGGAGAGTTAAAGATCAAGTATATACAATTATGCCCGTTCGAGGCATAATTTCAGATGTGTCAGGGATAAGCACACTGGTTGCCCATGCTGATTCTAGAAGACTTACCCTAAGTCTAAGCCTGGCTAACCTGGAAGCTAGAAAGTCTCAGAAGCAGAGCAAGGTAGGTCAATGCACATTAATACCCCTAAAGGGAAAAAAAAAAAATAATTACAGATGTACTGTTTTAATGCAAGTTTTGAAATATTTTTGAATAGCTGAAAAAATCGAATCAGACATCAAGCCTAGATCCTTATTAAAGGCTGCAAAGGAATCGGTTCCAGGACACACACCAAGGGGAAAAAACCATAGCATACAATCACCAAAACCTACATATACATTTGCAGAATGATTTCTGATGACGTTCTGTGGACAAACTTCAGATGAAACACCTACTGTTAAGAGAAAAGATATCGAATAATGTTTGTGATTCAAGAACTTGATTATAACTGCCCATGCAATTAAGTCTGAACATTTTAAGGAATTACTGCCCTCCATTTCTGTCAGCAGTGGTTTGTGCTAGATGGCACTTTAAATGGACACTAGTTTTCTGATCACTAGTTACTGAATCTCAGTTGACACAGTAATAGTTCTGCAAAGGTAACAGTATTCAAATCCAACTGCAAGAACACATCCAACTAGTTTAAAACACCCATGAACTCCTCCAAAAAGAACATATTATAGGTACAATATAGATACACCGTTTTCAGCTACTATAAAATAGCACAAGATAAAATGATTCACTGGAATCTCCTAATGAATTGCTACTTTTTAATCACAACTGTCCAGGCACTGGTATATATCAATAATAGAAAAATTAATTAAAAGGCTAAAAATAGTGTACAGTTTAGCACAGAAGGCAACGTTTGAATAGAAGCACATCGTTTTAATTTGCTTTGAAGCTTAAAGCAATCCAAACAAAAAAGTTAACTATATAAATACAGAGCAAATACAGAGTTTACAGCCAACTACATGTATGCAAAAATAATAGCAAACCTCACATGAACGTTGAAGTATTCTCAAACTGTCATTTGTGAGTGTTTAGCTATGACTCCAGGGGCATAAAAGTATGTTCACATATGCAGGGTAGGCAGACTCTTAAATAGAACTGAAAAAACTTACATAATTGAGTCTTAACAGACAAAGTTGAAAAAGTAGTACATTTACCTAGGCACACTTCAGTGTTCAGCTTGTTTTCCAAAATTTAATAGTTTAAACAGAAAGCAACATTTATAAAGGCTCTCCAATCTTCTCTCTCTGGAAGCATTCTTTTAAAAAAGCTACAGTCTGAGGAATGTTACAAATGTCATTATAAGAACAAAAGCAGAATAGTAGAAACTGTCATGAACAAACAGCTCAATCAGAAAGGAAATATATGGAGTGCATTATGTAAACAGGGAACTAGGTAGGTGCAATGTCAATATACAAGTGGACAGGTTGATGTTTCGGTTACAATTAAAATAACCATAAAACTCCATAAATCCCTAGTGTAAACCCACTTAAAACAACATAGACTAGCAGACCAGAAATCCAGACAGACACAGCAGATCTATCAAGTTTAAAGGTTGGGCTGAACCCTCTACAACACACCACAACTCGCCTGTTTTCACACAGCTCTACAGGGACTGAGTGGATAATAGAAAGGCTGAGAAATGTGACTGCATTCACTGAAATCTGATTGGGGTGGTGGGGTGGTTTTTTTGTTTGGTTGGCCTGTTTTTGTTTATTTATTTTTTAATGGTTTTCCGAACTCGGGCCACCTTGCCATGCCCTGTCCAATATGCCACAGCCACTCAGTGCCAAGCGGCTCACTGTAACAGAGCGCGCTAGCCAGGCCCTGGCAGAGGAGCCGCTTTTCCCTCAGATGAATGCATGCTCCAGTGCCATCTTTTGACTGGGTCAGGAAACTGCAGTCTGGCAGCATGTCCCAAATTTAACTGGTTGCTGAATCACAGCTTGCAGTAACATTTAAGTTTCATCTAGGAAGGAAACAAATTAGTTACTGAGAATTTTTCAGACATCCAAGATCTTTGCCTCTAGCACAGAAAGGGGTGACAAATACACTACATTCAAATATAAATCAAGGTGACCCTTTAAGTTACAAGAAAATTTAAATGCACTCCTTTCAGTTTTGTAGTTAAAGATATTACTGAATGTAGCATCTTCTTATTTCCTTTAAGGTTTTATAATAAAGAAAACTATATAAATAATTTAAAGATCTTTGGAAAATATTTCAGAGGTAACTTTGTACTTCCTGGTAGTTTAAAAAAACCCCAAAATCCCAAGAAACATTAGGTTTATGTTTTATGTAAAGCAAGCCAAAAAAAGGATCACCCCTGAAGTTTGAAGTTTAAAACATTGCTTAAACACCCACTAAAAAGGTAGAATAATAAGCTGATTGTCTCTTTTTTGCTGTTGTCTCCCATGTTCAATTGTCCTTGTCAACATTTTCTACTTATCAACTCCAGGGGTTTGGTTCTCACCCAGGCAAGGCACACACATGGTACCCAGTGAATTAATGGGAGATGAAGATGTAGCCAAGTGAGAACATATCCAACAGAGGAGAGTAGCTCTCAAAGCCTAGACTAATCCAAGTGTTAATTGTATTCATGAACTCCAATGCCAAATCCTGGTTTTGCCAATTAAAATTTTGGCTATCACTAAATAATCTGGATATCCTGAAGGAGTAATCCACTTTCTACAGAACGAAAAGTTACAGTAAGTAGCTATTCCAGCACTTAGTTATCTGAACAATGGCATTGCAGCAAGACTTAGGTCAGAGTCATGAATACTCTAGCTTTTCCTAGAGAGATCACTAGAAAAAACCCGCTTTAGAACACACACTTTAACACTCCCCTCTCATTTTAAAATAATCAAGTTCACCTTTGGTCACATCACAGACCACGCTGTCTTTAAAAAGGTGAGGTAACGTTTTTCCAAGGAGAAGGAAGTCAGTATACCTAAGCCTCCACTTCAAGGTTGCTGTATATACTATAGGTGGCTTTCAGAAGGATGAGTAATTAGTACAGAGAACTGCATGAAATACTCAAATACTTTGACATGGTATGGAAAACATGACAAGGGTCAAAATAAAGGAAAGCAAATGAGAAAAAACCCCAGACTAGTTGTTCTGTAAGTTTCAAGCTTTTACGTACAGCCTACAGAACTACTGCAGCAGAGATGCTATGGATCTACAGCATAAAATGTTTTATCCTGCACAGCTCACACAGAAAACAAACCACATGCTTTAAAACCCAAACTGCATGTTTTGAACACAGTTTGACTACAGATAACCAGTAAGAGGAAGAAAAATCAGAAGCCATAAGAAGGCCACAAAGTGCATAAGGAGTCATTCATAAAATAAAGCCATTGCACACAATGCACAGTTTAAAGTGTACTGAAGTACCGCACCAGAAGAGTTGATAATACAGTTCTGTCCACACCAGTGTAGCAGCATTTATATGTAGAAAGTTACTGCCCTCAATTTATAACGATCATCTTCCTCATAAGGATCATGGATGCAGACTGAGAAGTACTCAAGGTGCAGATAAAAGATATCTGTTTGGAAAGCTGTACAATTTCTTGTAACATTAAGTTTCTGATTTTGACACTCCAGCTGTATATGATTTTGAAAAAAATCTGTAAATTATGACAGAATAAACTAGCTGAGCCTCACTGCTGAATGTAATGCACTGCTTTGCAACTGGTTTATAGAACAACTAAAACAATGCCTGAATATTCAATTTGGAGGACAGGGTTATACTGTCAGCTGCAGTTTAGTGCACAGGCTCAAGTTAGAATAAGTGATACAGCAGTTATCAATAGGAATGCTTACAAGAAAATCTCAGTTACAACTTTCTCCACCATTCTACATGGAGGCTGGCTGCACCAAAGAGATCTATCACAACTTCAACTGTTTTCTGCTTTCAGGTCACCTTCGCCATGGTGGTATGTATTCTCCCTCTGTACTCCCACATAGATACTGGTAATCTAAATCAGGATTTACCAGACATTTTAAGGTAATGCAGCTTGTTCTTAGGTAGCATGAAACTATTTGAGTGAATCTTGTCTTCACAAAGGGCAGGCTGGACTAAATGAGATTTCTCATCACATTAAGAATCCTTAAAAAGGCTATGAAGTAGCATTGAGCAAGTTCCTCCTTAGCTGTGTGACCTGACAGGTTGGCAAGGAAAACTGATAATATAGCAGAACTTTTCACAGGTGTCTCTTACTTAAGGAAAGTTCCAGAAAAGAAAAATGATGATTTGGCAGAACTAGAAATCCATGTACACCAATATTAACAGACTGATAAACTGAAAAGTTCAAAAATCAGATCCTCTCTCACTAACCTACAACACTGCTCAAACTGAAAAAAAATAAACCCAAAACACAAAGTATCATCTTTTGGAACAAACAAATAACTCTGTTCTGGGTCCCTGTGCCATATTTTGTCTTGAGGTAGCAATATGGAAAACTTTACACACTGACTACTACCTCAGTCTCTTCATGAACCTTCAGAGCAACTGAATGGAAGTTTCAGGTATGATAAGGTATGAAAGTACTGTCTTCCCCATTCTTCCAACAGATTACTGTGCAGTAAAACAGAACAAAAAGTATGTAGTTTAGAGCAATCACTAAGAAAAGTGAATAAGGCTGCCCAAGAATACATTTTACACACTCTCCTTCACCCATCAGGTCTCTGAAGATGACTGAAATGCTTTTTCTAGATTAACAGATCAAAAGAAAGCAACAACATTGAATTAAGAGATGTATAAAAGGCATTCCCTAAGGGGCAGTTCCCGTTTGTCACATTGCTAAAAGACCATACAATAAGGCAGCAAAATTATTCAGTTGCCCACAATCAACCTCCTGTTTTGTCCATAGCTGCATGTTCCTGATATAACGTTCCTTTTGCCCACCACATTGGCATTGACATTCAATGGTCCACTCCAGTCTTTCCATTTTCCATCTTCTTCTAGGAAGCCTTGTCACACCGCTATCCATCAAGCAAGTACACTACCACTTCATAGGTTGACATCATGATAGCCGTGTTTGGAATCTGTCTGATCAGATGTGTAGTTAAACCTCGGTAGAGGGATCCATACCCTTCTTCTCGCACAAGCAAAGATAGTGTCTGGAAGAAAGATCTGTATTTTGTTCCCTCTTCTCTTAGTCTTGTTCGGACAACCTCTGTACAAAGAAAACCACATGTGGTTATATTCACCACTTTTCATTATTTTTCCCAGAAACCAATTAGTGATTTTACTTTAAAACACAACCTTTCCCCCTCCCCAAGTTACCAATCTCAGAAGTACTATTTAAAAAAGGACGAAGATGTCTAAGAGGCAAACAAGTTAAATTTTTGACAGTATTAGATATCTAACTAAGCAAGGAAAGTTAATCTGCTTAGTTAAAATCCAGAAGAGGACTACTGTTTGGGCTTACATTTTATCTTGGAAGTTGCCACTAATGAAGTAATCAATCCATTAACAAATTTAAGGTATACAACAAATACTTCACAAGAAAATGAAGTGCAACTGAAAACCAAACTAGACAGCCTGTTCTCCTAGAAAGGGGATGAGAACTTGCTGGCAAATTATGCTGAGTATACAGAGAGATTCCAAGTGAAAAAGGACTTTTTCCTTAAGTACTTTGGGCCATACCCTGGCAAATCCTTTGGAAAAATAAACATTGCCTAAGAAGAGGTCATGATAGATATCCACTTCAAAATACTTCCATTTCTGATTACTATATTCATGTTGACTCGCTGAATCGTGAAAAGCTTTAGACAGAGTTCCTAAGCAAGTGATCCAGTCTGCCACAAATATCACTGAAAAGACTCCCTTTGATCAATCTGATTCAGGCTCTCAGCTGTACATGCCCCACTTACCATGGGGATATGCTATTGATGTTGCGCAAGTTTTGGAAGTAGCAGCAGCCATCATCATTCCAACAAAGTCTGAAGCTTCTTTTGTAGATTCATCCTCATTGTCCATGGCAGAAGCAGTCTTACACTCCAGCAGTTTTCTCTTAATACTCTCATAAATAACAAAATGAATAACAGTCTCAGATATGCCTGCATAGGATGCTGACATTCCTCTGTAAAAGCCTTTAATACCATCTGATCGATAAACTTTTTGAACGCATTCAAAAGCACTCATTCGCTTTTCTCCACGATTCCTAAAAAGGAGAGAACAAAACACGTATCAAGCTGGTGCAACTGGAGACTGGAAAATAATTAAGCAATTTTGCTTGAGTGACAAGAAGACTTAAGAAACATCTCAACACTGGTGCTGAGGTGCTCCAGTTCAGCCACATTTAAGAACACACAGAACTTGAATTCTCAAAGGCCTTCAGCACCAAACACAGGTAACACACTGAATCCAAGCCAAACTTCATTTGGTGACAAAAAGCATCACAGACAAGGTGAACAGCTCTAGGCCTCCCCAAGTCTTACTGAATAAAGGACTGAATTGCTTGAAAACAGACTCCCAAATGAATTGTGACTCATAAAAAAAAAAAAAAAAGAGACCATTTTCTTCTGCATGGTAAGACTGGATGTCCCTAAACTTTGCCTCAAAGAGCTCCACAGCATGGTAATTAGAGCTGTTAAGAGTTCAAACAGCAGGCCTCATAGCATCACAGCTATCAGCAAACAACTGATTTATCTAAAGAGAGCATACCAACCAATTTGACCACACCAGTAGCTATTACTTGATTCACCTATGCCACTGCTGATGTCAACAAAAAAGCTCGTTAGATATGACTGCATGACAATATTTGGTAAATAAAATCTTATTCCATTTTTAGCTTACTTACTGAATTCAGTTGTGCAAACTGAAACACTTTGCATACTGTACACAGCTATGCAAAATCATTACAACACTGCATAAAATGTTTCACTGCAGCAGCAAGGGCAGGCACTTGAAGCATATGGATTCTGCCAGCAGAGGTCTCCTGAGCGAGCGAGTCACAGAACAAAACAGCTAATAAGGTAAGAATTGCAGTAACTCATACAGATACCGTCAAAGAGAAAGAGCAGGCACATACAGCTGCAAATCAAATCTTGAATAAGCTAGATGGCAGATGCTGCCACCCCCCAGAGAACTGGGGGATGGCACTGATTTGCTAACAGACAAGGGAAGAGTCAAAGAACAACTGTCAAGAGCAGTTGGACCTACAGCTGCATCTCCAGGGACAGCTCAGTCCCATATGTCCCTGGCACACCTGGACAGGTACACTGACACACAGACTCCGGTAAGAGTTTGTTCTTCTGATGCACAACATTGTTTTGAATTCCAAAGAAATTTCACTTTGGAAATAAAACACATGCCTCCTCCAGCTCTTACTGGGATCAGAGAGATTTTTGAGAAGAATTTCAACAGAAACAAGATCAGGCCAGGATAATCCCACAAGCCAATGTGCTAGACTAGCCCACATAACTGGAGTATCCTACACAAATTTAGAAGATCCTTCTTCAGGTCTTCCACACAAAGAGTGTACTTGTTTTAACGTAAAAAAATAATGTGCAGGAGAAATCTGTAATTTTCCCTAATATCCTTAAAGTCCTATAGTTTAAGCAATTTAACTAATTATGCAATAAAAAAAAAAAGCAGAGGCATAAGGTGCTATCTGTTTGCACATAGCACCAAAACCCCCTTGGAAATAGTCATGGAATCATCACCCCAATCATACAATGGCATCACAAAAAAAAAAATCCACAGTAAAACTAGTTCTAAGATATATTTAGTATAGTCACCTTGCAGCTGAAAATTTGCCTGCTAAGAGGAAAATTGATAATTTGCACTGAACATGGGAAGTCCAACAGATCTCCAAAATAGGAATATGTGGCTCATTTAGGATGGCTGAAGAAAGAATTTTATACTGCATGCTAAGTTTCCAGTAAGACAGTCTATAAAATGAACAAGACAGCTGCACTGAGACACTTGCATCGTATCAGTCTCTCCCTACAGCTTTAAATAGATGGGAATATAAAGGTCCTTCTTCCTCTCTTTTTCCATAAAATTCTACTTCACTACAAGTTTTGTAATAACAAACAGTTTCTGTAATTGATTCTGTAGGAAGTCTAAACAACTACCGACTAGCCCACATTAGGACAATTCCCGTGTTTCAATCCATCAAAGCAGTCTTCCCCTTTTTATAGGCTAGAGCTCATTGCATGTAAAAAATTAAACCCCAGATGTTTCAGGCATTTTTCTAAACTTTTTCTAAAATATTTAAATCCGTATTTCAGAAATGTTTAGCTCAACAACTGAAAACAAAGAATGTATTACTGAAGGAAAACATAAGCATGTGGTTGGTAAAACATTATTTTAATGAGACCATTAACCTTGTAGTTCATTCCAAATTTGCTGGCCAGTCTAGTATAGTGTCTCTCAAGCATGCCTCAGAATATAGAGATTAAAATAGAGAAAAACAATAGTGTAACTTCATCAGCATCAACTTTCTAATTCAAAAGCTGGACATTTAAAGAAATATTCCATTTAGGGATGCAGAACAGATTCATAATATTTAAGCAAAATCTTATCGCAGCAGTGAGATTTCCCACTGTCACTATACCTTGCATCAAGCTGTAATCGTGTCTTTACTAGCCAAATGGGATTAGTTGTTGTGATCGCAGTAAAACCTAAAATATTTAAAAAGAAAAGTTAGATGTGATAGTATCACAAGAGCAACTGCATCTAAGTTTGAAACGCACACAGTAAGGTACAGTAGATGCAAAAACTCGGACTATACTGATTTTTAGAAAGTACCCATTGTAACCCTTCACTGATATTTTATGAATCCATACAGCCAATAAACATTTAGCTTATTTTTAAATTTTACATTAATATTGACCAGGTTTGATTCTTAGCAAGGGACATCCCATATAAAATAAGCCCAATTGTGTACATTTCTCTGCCTATCTATTGATACCAACCCTGTTTTGACACCACAGAACAGCAAAGCTAGCTAGGCTAATATTAGGCAATTTGGCAAACATGTCAATAAGAGTACATTGCAGATACAGCTATAGCAATTTGAGATGGTATAAAACATTGTGTCAATTTAATTTGCTACCTGAAATACAATCCGAGTTTAAAAGCATGCAGACTGAGTAAATACTACTTTTGGTGCAGTTAAAAGGCAGTATTACTGTAAGTTAAGAGACCTTTTAATACTGAACTATAAAGAGCAGTTAAATTTGAGTGCTAATGTTTTCTTTAGTATTCAAAGCAGAGATTGTTGGTTGGCCTAGGAATACTTTTACAAGCATATGAGTGTTTAAACTGATAAGTAAATAATACGACTTCAAACTATCCAGACAGACAGCAACTTTTCAGGCTTGCATAAGGGCTAAGGGTTAAAGTTTTGATTTTCAGTTCACTAAAGAAAAAGAAAAGGAAGAAAAAGAGAAGAGGAAACAAATTAAAAAAAAAAAAAAAAAAAAAAAAAAAAAGTAAAATAAAAAACCATCTAGAAGTGGTAATACCACACATGCACCATTAATGAGGTGTCATGTCTGCGGGAAAGAAGAGGAAAAGGGAAGAGCTGGAACATGGCCAGGCAAGAGATGATAAATTTAGACACTTGCTATCTAAGTGACACACTTGAATATCACTACAAAGACATGCTGCCCTCCTGCGAGGGAATGGACTGGGGTTGTGGGAAAGCAACAAAGAGTTACCTTGTTCAGTGCATATCTGGTGCACAGTACTTGTACAACGAACAGGCTATTGATAAGCTTGTTTATCGAGATCATTAACAGCTTACATATATATATTTAGCAGAACTGCTGGCATACATGTTACTTCTGTTCAATCACAATCTAGGTTTACATTGCACACATAAATGACTGCAATACTCAGAGAAATGCCAGAGGATCTTAACTGTTTTAAGGCTTGTTCTACCCCCATCCCCAAATCTTAAACAGGTCATTATGATTTTCAGTTACAGTTCTAAAGACAAACTACAAGACTTAACAGCTACTAAGATTTAGCTATATTCCTGTGCCAAAATAGCAAAACCGTGTTAAGAGATTTCAGTTTAATCTTTTTATTAAATAGATTTTTAAACTGACTCAAGCTTGTTAAATAAATAACTTCCTGTAGTAGATAATTAAATAAATTACATTAAATAATGTAGTAAATAAGGTTAGGGGCTGACTTTTTTTGATACACTACTCTTTTTTTTGTATGTCTATGTACATATATAGCCCTTCATATGATGGAGTGAAATCCAAAGAAGCCAAAAGTGTTTTATACCTGTATTTCATGTAGGTAGATTACATAAAAACTCAAAGCATCAGGGAACTACTCTGCCATAAGCAGGCAAGGGATGTTTTTAAAACATACTACACCTTGCAAAAAAAGTTCTGTAGTTTGACTAGCCAGAGTCCTCTGACCTGTCACTTAATGCAACAAACACCACAGATTCCAACAGCACTTGATTCTGGGTTGAACTAAACTGAAACATCATTCTTGTATTTTTTACTTCTTTATACTAGCACTAAGCTTTAAATTTTCTTTTACTTCTAATCAGAATCCTTCCATATCTATAGTGCAGTGAGGGGCACTAGGAATGCACAGGACTGCAACAAAGGCTTTGAAATAAAGTGGGGAAAAGATTACTAACTTCCCATACGAGCATGTTTTCTAGGAAAGACTTCTCCCTAAAACCCAAAATTAGTTCTTAAGACCCTCCTATTTCTTAATTACAAGGGAACAAGACAAAAAATATCATTTGCATTCCTATTTAAGTTGCATGCTTTGGAATTTTGTTACTGCTAGACTGTATGTTAGAGCATTCTCTGCTCAGTCCTTTCTCCTTCCTATTCAACCCAGAAAAAAGGTCTCTGTAGATCCTAAATCTGGAACAGGAAACATGTAGGTGAGATCAGAGGCAGCGTCTGAGTGGCAGCAGTGACTATATTCACCCACAGCAGGAGCCTGATACTTCTAGGCAGGCTGGGAAAAGCATCTTGGAAATTGCGAGGGAATGGTGGTTGGCATAGGATGCAGTCTATTCTGTCCAAACTTGCACTCCCTGGGTTGCTCTAAACATTATTTAAATGCAACACCCCTAACAGTAGGATCAGACACTTGGCAACATAGCCAATTTTTTTCCTTAAGGCTGCCATAAGCCTAAATTGCATGACAATCTGAACCAAAACTTTCAAAACAAAGAGCCTTCAATAATTCAGGTTTCAAGATTTAATAATTACAGCTCAATTCTTACAGGTAATGTAGTAAATAAAGTTAGTGGAAGAAGAAAAACAAATTAAGAGTTGAGTGATGCTGACACCAAGGAAAGCACTCCAAAACATGAAACATACCATTTGGTATCTTTGATAAGATAAGCTTTTCTTTTTAAATACAGAAAATCTGTAGCAAAAGCACTTATTAAAAAATAAAGGTGGGGGGCTTTCAACAACTACTATGAAGCTCTATTGATTGTTTCCTTTTATTTTTTTCTTTTTAGTTGTCTCAGTGAATTTTATAATGCCTTACAATGCATATCAAATATGCTGTAACCTCAGGAAAGATTTCAGATTCAGTAGAAGTATAGATCAATTTGGCAATACCAGAAACTCCTGTACTTTTCTGTTTTATTTTCTTCTATGAAATTGTTTCCCAGTTTCAGACAGAATTATCTCAATCTACTTTTTCAGCTATACCAGCTACTGACAGGTAAGATCCCAGGTATTCCTATTATGCATCATATTTTAAAGGTTAGGGTGTTTTTTTTAATCTATAAGCCAATGTAATTGATACAGACGCATGTGAATATGGAATGCTGAATCAAAAATCCAAAGTAGTAAAATAAAACCAAACCAAAACAGAAAACAGAAAGAGACAGAAAGGAGGTTATATACATATTAAAAAAGAAAAAGAAAAGAGGTCTTTGAAATAACAGTGACAACACAGAGTATCAGCTGCAGCATTTTAAAGGCAGCTCTGGGACACTGAAAAAACCCAAAAGGCCTTGTTTAACCCAGTAGGGACTTTTCATTAGCAAGAGCTAAGTAAAGTAGCAGCTATCAGTGAAAGGTATGTTCCACCTTTCCCTGAAGTGCACAGAAAAAAGTAACTCTTAACAGAGTCAAGGAGAGTGATGTCTTTGCACAACGCACATCATCTGAGTTCAAGATAATGAAAGTTAATTCCCCTTATTTTGTTTATTTAATAGATATTACAAACCCAATGTGTGGTTCTTACACTAGAGGCTGCAAGAGACGCTCAGTTCAGTACTCACGAGGTTTAAGTTAGTCCATATTTCTGCAGGAAGTGACCTGCGGATGGGGAGCATGAGATGACACGATCTCACTCTTTTCACGGGAGAAATGTACAGTAAATGCCTAAAATAGACACAGGCTTTTCTGTATCATAACAACAAGCAGTGACCTCATCAGACACATGTGTACAAATCGAATCCCATTGGAAGGATTTGTGTATTAGTTATTGTGAGATCTAACTGTTTTCAGGTAAAAGTTTAGGAAAAAAAGAAAGAAAAATAATCAGAACAGGCCACAGATATTAAAATAATTGTGTAAAATGCACTGAGTACTGAAATTTCTGCTCATTTGCAGCAGTTCAATTTTATTTTTCAAAATACTTACCTATATACCTCCTCCTTCCCCACTCCCTCCCAAATATCATTCAAAAATGTTAACCTTGCCTTAGGACTGAAAAAGCAAGATAGATACCTTATAAAAATCAATCTTTCTAATTTCATTAATGAACTAAATATGCATTTTATTTGGTATTAAGTAACTGTGCACATACTACTAAAAAGTTTGAGAAGTATGGTATCTCTGTAAGTGGTCCCATTTAAAAAAAAATAATTAAAAAGAAAATCTACATTTAGGTTGGTTTGCCAGTAGAGTTCTAGCAAGAACAGCAACAGCATACAAGGCAAAGTAGTTTTGCAGCAGATTTGCAACCATGTTGTCTGAATGAGGCTATGAATTATTAAAAAGGCAAATCAGAAAGCCACAGAGGCACCAAGTATCTCATTCAGTTCTCTACAGTTTTTATTCTGTGGCAAAAAAGGTTGAGTAAGTGCAACGAGAAGGCAGATTTTATAGTGAATCTGAGAATTTAGCCTAACTTCAAAGTGTACAGATATAAACTATCTTCACACAAGCAAACACTCTCATTCTTGTAGTATGCTTCAGATATATTCACTGTCCAAGTCTGCAAAAAGAGAAATGTGGTATGCCAAGTAGTAAGCAAAAAAGATTGCTAAGTATTTCTGCATGTCAATACACAGGTATTTTAGGTATGAGGTGACATGAATTTTATGCTGGAAGCTAGCACACAGCAAGAGAAAAATATTAATTTCTAACTGCAGAAGGCATCAGTTACTAATATATGCATAATTCATCCTCCTTGGGATAAAACAAACTTACTGAAAGAATCTTAATAAAACCAAAAATATGTTTTACCTTGAGAAGGAAGAATCAGGCCTCAAAACAAACAGAAGTGCTTAAAATACCATACGTCAGCTTCTCACTCCCAAAAATGCCATATGCATAAAATAATCCTTATTTAACAGTGGCATTGGTCTAGCCTGAGATATTTATGTATTAACATATGATACAAGTAAACAGTATTTAAAGCTGACTAAAGTTCACTACTTACAGTACTTCCATAAAACAGTAAGTTACAGATTTTTTTAAATTGTATTTTTACATCAATGTTGTATTTAGCAACCTACAGGAAAAGCTTTAAGTGCAAACACCACCTCATGTTTGTTAGGTACGAGAAGCCTTTACGTAACGGAAAGGTCATATCCAAACAAAAAAACCCTCATTTAAGACTGTTACTCAATTCCTTACTGAAACCAATGGCAGCTGCAAAAGAAAAAACCAATACTGATTATTTTTTGCTAATTATTAGAACTGTTTATCCACCTTGCCAATTTTGAAATCTTGTGTTCCAAAGCAAATATTATGGTGATCTTCTGTGTTAACCTGTTTCAGTCAACCAATTAAGAGCTCACATTCGATCTTGGCCCTGTTTTGCCATTTCCTTAAGCTGATTTGTATCATATAACAATACAAACCTTGCAGGTAAAACTGTTAATAGTTGCTTTAAGTGCATTTTCTGAAATATATTAGAATTACAAAAACAAGGTTAGCATGTTCCCAAGAAAACACTGTTAATTTTAACTGCAGTCCTTTTCATATAAAACAGAATATCGCCATTACTGAGTACTGAGAAACTGTTTGTCAAAGACCCTTCTCCTAAAGGTCTTCCAGAGAATGTCTGTAATAAACAGTGCCAAGAAAGTTGTGACCTGTAGGGTGAACCCGCACTGGACAGTCAGTTTCATTGGCTACATGGTTCAGAAATACAACTGCAGAACTAAATAAATCTGAGAAAGGTAACAGCTACAAAAGTTGTTCAATATTAAAATTTGTATACAAATGTAAAAAAAGGCGAACAGGAATTAAGGCTCAAATACATTTACCTCAGTCTCCTGCAGTCATAGGTACAAATGCATAATACTAACCTTCTGGAAGGGAAGCAAGTTGATAAGCAGACACAGAACTCCTTGCCTAACTACAGTGTGTCTGTAAGCACTTGGATGTTTTCATTACAGAACGAAGGCAGTAACTTCCAAAGATAAGGAACACTTAACCTTTGTCTGCAGCACTGCATGAGTTACACAAGTTGTCTTCAACTGAAGACAGCCCTGTTTCCATTACCCATACTTTCCTCGACCCCAAATTTCAAGACGTGTTTTATCCCATTGACAAAGAGTTAAAGACAATTCATTTTCCTTGAAGCAATTAACTGATTAGGATGAACTTCCCATGAAATTCCCTTCCATCCCATTCCCCATGCTGTTCACCTACAAACAAAAAGCACGTTTCCAGGTGATAAAAAATACTGCATCATCTGAGCACTATTTAAGTGCTCAGATTTAAGACAAAACAGCTCTCCTTACATCACTTAAGATTAAAAAATCTGCCACCACATTTCTGAGCGTGTGTTATTTAAGTATAAAGCTAACGTCACTTAAGTTTTCTATGCTATATAACAATTTCTTTGTGTCAGATTATTAGCAAGTATTAAATAGAAAAACTAACCCTATTCATTATTCTGATATCACCTTGGGCAGTCCATTCCAGATTGCTAGTACTCACATTATATACACTGGTTATAGAATTTGACAGGAATTAGAAACTTAAACAGGCTACCATAAAATTGCCGCAATTCATCTGTGAAGTGTCTAAGGCCTATACAGTAAAAAAATGATTTTTCTTTTTTTTTTTTGTGTAGGGAAGACACAGACAACAATAGGTAAAGTGTTGCCAGCCCAAGTTTTGGTCTCCCCAGCACAAGGCCATGACCATAACTCAGCTCAGTTGCCTTTAACTCCCCTTGTTAATGATCCCAAAGCAGAGAACATACAAATCAAGCAAGAAATATTGGTAGCTGCTGACATATAACAAAGTTACACTGCAGATATAAAATAGGAAATTATTTCCAGAGATGAAAATACATCAAAACTATGAAAATCTGCTCTTCTGGCCCATTTTAGTAATAGAGCAAACTTCACAGACGGGTGTTTGAACAAAGGAGGAGAAGCATTACATATAATTTATACAAATATCTGCATGCATTTTCCAGAATAACTAAAGTTAAGTCAGATACACCAAGCTGTAACAGAAAGTAATAGTATAAAAACTAAATTAAGAAGCATTAAACTAGAATTCAGTGCAATGTTTATAACTCGCAAAGCAAAAAGTTACCGTTTTGAAAGCTTCCATTTTACATTTCACAAATTTACAGTTGGAAAAGGAGGCATGCAAGCTTTCCTAGAAAAAACTATTCACACACGCAGTTAAAGATCTTCATTAACATTGAGTGTAAAGTTTCATGCACATGTTCTCCAGATAGCTTGTTTAATGAGAGGCCAAAGAAAGTAAATGCTACAAAAAGCATTCAATCACTGAAAAGTTTCCTGGTTTGTTTTTTCTACATTTATTGCTGCCTCTCATTTGTATATATGACTCTAGAATGAAGCTAAAAAGTTACAGATCCTTACCTGCCACACCAGCTGAAATCATGTGTACCTGGGTAGAATCTGGACTGAAAATATTGTTCAACTTCTCCTTGCAGTTCGAGTAAGCAGCAAAATATATCGCTCTAAAATTAGAACAAAATCCAAGTTAGGTTACATTTTATGTGTTGATACCCTGAAGAGTGGTGCCATTAAGTACTCTAAGTCAAGACAATCTGGGCTCAAACTCTTAGTTCCTCAGTAAAAAACTACTTAGGAATAACTCTTGCCAACTAGTGGGACCATTCTAGGAATGGAAAAGAAAAAAAAAAAAAAGTTTTAAAAAAAAAGATCATACCTTACAATTTTCTTCCACAACAACTCCAACCGACAATTAGTGAGGGGAAGGAAAGTTAATTAGAAACATGGCAATGATTCTGTATTTCTTTAATAGCAGATCAAGCTTGTTCTAATGGACCTACACTTACTTCAATAGCATCACTATTTCAAGATAACTAGCAAGTAAGTAGCTTTTCTTTTCAACCAAATAGCACACTTATTACTCTGGCATTTAAGATGCAAATATTGATAACGTGGTTATACTTTATAAGTAGTAATTATAAATATTTATATTTTAAATGCTAGAACATCTGTGAGGCTGGGATCTGCATGTTGTTTCCTTAGTTCTGTATTTAGAATAGACACAGATTTTTTTTTTCTCTGAATACACAAAAAACTTGCAAAGTCTGTGAGCTGGTATCAAAATAAAGCTGGACATAAAAGTCAGAATGTCAATGCAATATATTAAGAAAAATGCTTGTTTTCACTCATTAAAGCTAAAAAACTTATTTTTAAGCACATTAAACTTCACATTTAAGGTTATAACTCAGGTTTTTTAAACTTAAGACACCCCTATACAAGACAAAAAATGAACATGCAAGTTTTCATGAACAGAACATTAACCTCATTAGCTGTGCAAACATGTTTTTCTTTATTATAAAAAAGATAAAGTGCTTGCTTCATGGGTGTAATTTCTAAAATGGAATCAGAACTCAGTTAAGTATACTGGATGTGTCATGAAACATGATTCTCTACAGCTTATTTAAACAAAAAGCTGCTGTTAAATCCACTTAGCTAATGCTTAATTGAAATGAAGTACTGGATGAAGACAGTCAGCCAGAAGGAAATGAGGATGTGCTTATTTATAAGACCTCACACATTTTATCAGGTTGACATTTTGCGGGGGAGAGTGTGGGGGGGGTGGGAAGGGAGAAAGAACAAGCTAAGTATTTCACGTGGGGCAAGAAGGGAAGCAAATTAGAAGATTTAACACAAAATGTACTAAAATGAAATAGATTTTGGGGGCAATTGAGGATATTTTTCATTGAGGATAGTCACTTATAAAATGGAATCCATTGCTGTATAAAAATTACTCTTAAAAAAGTACTATCAACGTTAAACATTCAGACCAGACTGGACTATCAAAAGTACAGGCTCTTCAGATTAGGAAGTGCTGATACCCTGTAGGTGTCCAGAACCAAGAAAGCTACTGCAATACTTCAGCTTCTTCAAATATCAATGCTAAATTAGTGACCAGAAAATACCTCAAGTATTCCTAATTCCTTTTAAAAAATCTGCTAAAAGTACTCCAATTAATGAATTACATTTTCCTCTTATGCGGAAGATCTACAGAACACCACCTCATTTGTCAGATCTAAGTAAAAGACATATCAATGCAGAATGCAATCCAGTTTAATACACTTTTCCAGAAGCATCAAAATATCTTAAAGCAGGAAAGCTAAGATACTCTCCAAATGGGTGTGCAGGAGACAGGAATGTCTTCTCTTCAGACCAAAAACAAGAACCAAAACCAAAAGCAGGGCACTAAGTCAAGGGAAAAATAAAAGCTTTGTGGAATATATTCTCTCTACATAAACACTCTTTTAAACAGAATAGAAGGTAATAGGCCAGAAAGTAACTATAGCCTCATCCAGGATTATATATAGTAGTTATATTAGTTATATCAGTAGTTATATTAGTTTTACACAACTTTGTTGACATACTCTTCCTCAGGTTTTCTCCTATTTTTGTACTGAACTTAGGCTAACATTTGTATGTAAGGACCAGTTTGAACTCTGGCATAATCTTCACCTCACTGACTGCCAGCACCAGCCAAGTAGCTAGAGTATTTGTGCTGAAACTGACAGCAGCGGTACCACTGCCAGTTACATCAGATTTACCCCTTGTCTGCTGCACTGACACTGCCCCAGCATCCTCTGCAGTCCAGCCCACCACTGGATCTGCTTTCTCTGGAACAGCTGTTAAGTGTGTCATCCTACACAGTCTTGCCTCTTTTTGAAGCTTCAGATCAGGCTTCCTACTGCAGGAGGACAGTGGTCTGTGTGTCACCAGAATTCTGGAGGAAAGACCCAGTGTTTTGAGGCTACACTCACACAACTGCTTCCTGAAGATGACAGATTAAATGAAAGCTAAATCTACCTTTGTACTTCCAAAGGTACAGATTTCTTGTTTATATGAGCAACTCCTTAAGCATTTTCCTTCATAACTGGACAAAACACTGTGTGAGGGATAGTACACAACTGTGAATACTATTACAGTAGCATATAGGACAGTAAATGCTGAGACGGTTGGTGCAGGGATGTGGGACTGGAGCTGTGGAGTACGAGTGGCCCAATTTCTCAGACCACAAAGTTACCCCAGGAACCAAAGATTATTTGCTATTAAGCATTTACAAATGCAGATGCAAAACTCACTTTAAATAAACCTTATATCCTTTAAATTATGTATAGCAACATACGTTTCCTCAAAATTATTTCATTTACTGTACACGTTTGTATTTACCTGGAAGGAGCAACGCCTACTAAATTAGGACCCAGCCCTCTAAACAGAGAACGAGGACCTTCCTTTTGCAAGATCATCCTAGAAAACAAAAAAGTGACAGTACTGTAACACTCACATCAAAATTAAGGAATGCACTGACCACCATAACTACATCATTTTAAGCTTTAGTCTGTGTAAAATTTCCATAATAACTGGCAATGCAGTGCTGACCACGAAAATGTAATAATTTCCTACAATCAGCATAAAATAACATTCATTACAATTCCACTATTGCCACAGAAATTTAGGAACTCAGTGCAGAAAAAATATGATGTCAATGCAGACTTACCTCAAAGATAGGAACATATACATACACCAAGTTATCTGTCATTAGAAAGTTAAAGAAAGTGTCCTTTTATCAGGGAGAAGCTACTAAGGATGGGTATGTTCACATTCCTGTAGGTTGGATTGTTCAGGAAACAAAAATATTTGATCCTATTTTACATTCCTTTCATTACCCTTTAGCTCCCAATGTTTGGGAATTTTTGGGGGGTGGGAGGAACAGGGGGTGAAGGGCAAGAGAGGAGGAGAGAGACTTACGAAGGTTCAGTTACAGCAAGTCATACACCTTCTGAGAGCAGCTCAGGAAGATGTTAGCTCCACTGCCCAGCCAGGGACATCTTTTGCAGTCTATTACCTACCCTTCTCAGAGACAGAAACCTCAACATGGCTTTGCACGTACTGCCCTGGATTGGTACTACATGACTCCTAACAGTACACTAAATTACATGTCAGAAATTAGAGGAAAGCAGCCTTTCAGATAAAAAATCCTGACTTCTCCATCCTCACAAATGATTTAAATCTATTCAGTATTGAACTAGGAACACATTCTTAGATTTATTCTGTCTGTAAAATAGAGTGATTGACTACAGTAAAAGGAAACAGAAAGCTCCCATCAGAGAAGTCGCCCATCCTTGAGGCTGGCAGGGATTCCTTCCTATCATTTCTTAACAGCTGCCTGTGTGCTCCTACCCAAGCACTCCTGCTGGGCTGCAGAGCCAGTGGTTTTTTTTCTTTTCAACTCATTCCAGAAAAGACAATCCTTATCTCATCATGCAACGGAACTCAAGTTTGAGATTAACTGAAAAAGGAGTGTGACCCATGTAGAGAGTCACAACCACAGTACAGCCCTAACATCTCGTAGTATAAGTTCCACTACAAACAGAGCTCTGGAAAGACTGCTTGGGTGGCAGGGTGGTGTCACCTTCCATCTCTGTGGGAGTTACAAAGAAATATAGGGATATGACCAGTGAATTGAGACCTCAAATGAGGCATTACTAGTATTTATTAGAAGTAAACACTTGGGATGCCTATCCCATGTAACTGTGGTTGTTAGAAAGAGTTGAAAACCATTATGCAGCAAGGTTCCTTGGCACAGTAAGAGGATATCCATTAATATCCACATTTTGTGAAATCAATCTGTCCAACGATCTAGATGCTAATCAGATAATAGTATTTTAAGAAGTATGGTAGGACATGGGAGAAGAAACAAGGACTATCTGCATCCCATTACTGCAAATTGCTCTAGCAACTGCTTTAGAACCAGATTTAAAGTTAAGAATTAACTACTTCACTAGATGTTGTACAACAGAACTCTGTGCTTATTGATTTAGAAACACTGGCCAATACACACAAATAGTTCTCCCGTATATTTCTTCTTCAAAGAGACTTGCAGGTTAATGACAAGTCAATTACTCTATAAAGCAAACTACCTTTATATAAATGGCTATTTTGTTTGGAATTTACTATCAGAACAAACAGGTGAAAGCCATCTATAGCACTGTAGGAGATTCCAAATCTATTCTGATTTCCAGCAACTGTTTCATCACAGTTCTGCTGCTAAATCAAACTGAAAGTTTACATGTGCTTTCAGTAAGCAAAAAGAAGACGGTGGTTCTGCACCGCTACCACCACTATTTAGGAATGCTGGCATATAACGTGTCCAGCAGCATCTTAGCTTCATGTTCATAACAATTAGATACAATTTCACTATGTGGGTAGCATTGCTCCACAGCAATAATTAGGACTATTGAACACATACGCAAAAGCTGTTTGGAAACACAAATTACTGACATGTCTGTCATCCTCAAAGCATTTCTAATCCTATGGAAAGAATTATTCAAAAAAATCTTACCATATCACAGAGTTCAGCATCAGATTACAGCAAAGCTGAACCCATTTAACATCATCTATGTCCACTTAAAACACTACTTAAAAATCACTACCACCACGTTACACATGTATATATGCACATAGAACACATGCATGTATACAAAGCAGCAGGAATCTTAAGAGAAACTTTGGAGTGAAGTGTACCAGGTCTATTTGTTTCTTCTGCACCTACAGTGTCCCAAGACTTGAGAGAGTAACAAAGAGTTACAGAGGTTGCAGCAGACAGGATTATAATGGTGGTAATTATTGACACTCTTCTGCATTCACAGACACTAGCTGCAGGAGTTCCAGAGCATACCCTGAAAATAAACCACAAACTTTTTGCAATAAAGAGTAGATCCTATAGCCAGCCTGCACTGTTTACTGAAAGCAGTAAATGGCAAATCCATGGTTGGCAGAGCAGCACAAATGCTCCATATGGCCTCAGCTGACCTGCTTATGTCACATTGGGAAGCCTGCACTGGGAGGCTGGTCAGATTTCCATTATCAAGACCTCGGATTTAAAATCAGCAAGGTTAGTTATGAGAGGCATCTGCAGCATGATACACACCACAGATATCTAACATGGGAATTCACTTCTTTGCCAGAGAATGCAGTCACCTGTACCAGTTCTTCTGAGTTTGTTTCCTGACAGGTGACCTCTGTTGAAATCACCTCTGTTGATGCTTAAGATGCAGAAGTGATTCCACAGCAGTCAGTTAACTGAAATTCGGACATCATTTGCCTGATTCATCCTGCTTATAGACCGAGTTATCATGAGGCTTGGAGCACTGCACTGAATTTGGTATGAGAGGAGACAACCAAACCCTGACACTCATAAGTCAAAGTATCAAGTGACAGTAAAGGCATGAGAGTAACAGAAGGATTCAGTTTGGTTTTCCCATGAACAGCCCTAGTCCCTTAACTAAGAATAATTATGTCCAACACCTACATGTTTTCCTTGTCATAGTCCACCACCATGCCGTTTGGGACTTTTCCATATTTACTGTATTTAAATTGAAACCTAGAAAAGTTACTTGGCATCTCCGTTATTTGATACTGACCTGGAAGAAAACACATCTAAGCAAAGAACAAAAGCAGCAGAAGATACATATTCTTGAATCACAGATAAACAACAAGTCTAAGAAGCTGATTTACAAAAAAATCCCTCCAAAACAAATACAGACCACCAGTGAAGTTCATCATGGACTACCTCTACCTTAGTCTGAATTTGCTTCCTGGAAATACCCAGTTATTTTAGGTTTTAGCAAAGGGGTTTAAAGGATAGCAGGCTTCTAGCAGAGGGGCATACAAAACAAACATCTGTTCATGCTGCTATTCCTTCAGATACATTTCTAAACAGAAGATAAATTCATAACCAAACATTCGGGGAAGAAGCTAAAGGGCTCAACTTCTACCAAGAGGAGCCAATAAGAAAAGTGCTTTGGATGGAGTTCTCCTTCCTTGTCACAATCTGAGCCCTTCCTTCCCACAGGCCTGTTCAAAACACGTTCATTGATCAGACTCTTATATGTAAAAAGGCCCCAAATCATAACTCCCATGATAAGAACTACTTTCGATTCAAGGACCTATTTGGGTATAACCTCCATTTAAGCAAATCCTATCCTCTAACCAGATTTAGTATAAATCCTACACTGCAACTGCCAGAAGGGGCTCTCTACAAACTACTTCTGATTAATTGGGGGTAGAAGATAACTGGTCCAAGTCTTATCCAATTCTTTCTAATGCCAGAAATAGTAGCAGGTCCTTTCTGGAGAAAAACTCCCCTCATTCACAAATACTGAAAGCACCTCCCCAAAACGGGCTAGCTTGACTCCCCAAGAGTAAACGCTGCCTGTGGTCTGTACTAAGTTTAACTGCGGCCACACACGTTTTCCTGCTGGATACTGTGGCAGGTGCATCCACCCAATGAAAGCAGAGGTTCTTGGCTGCTGAGGTGTAGCAGCTTTGGGCTGCCTTTGTTCTCAGGGTCGTGGTAATTGGGGCCTTTGGCCAATGAGAGCTGTTCTTGACTACAGGTCAGATTCAGCCTGGATATAAATGGAGTCCCCTGGGGGGGCTATTTGGAGCTTGTCCCCTGGAGTAGCAGCTGCAGTTGACTCTCCCCTTGGTTCAGGACGCTGCCTAAGGAAAATCCTCAAAGGGCCTTGGGTCTGGATTGTCCTAGGTAGCAGGGCTTTGTAAGGCGTTTGGGGATGTCGTTAATGCCCAAGCCCTAGGTAGCAGGGCTTTGTGAGGCGTTTGGGGATGTCGTTAAACCCCAGGGAGCGGGGCTTTGTCTGCGTTGTTGAACCTGTTAAACCCTCTAGAGTTATTTGTTATGTGTTCTGGGTTGCCGTTAAACCCTAGAAAGCTGTTCTGTTCTCCTCTCACAGACATTCAAACCTGTAATTTACGGAGAGCTATAATAATTTTTTATTATTTTTTATGGTTGGCTGTTTAATTGAGAGCATCCGTAACAATTGGCATAGTCGGCAGGATGTCGATAGAGGAGATATTACAGAGATATAGTTGTGCTCCTTCTCCCCCAAATGTGCAATGGGTGAAGAAGAGGTGGTTCGATCCGGTGGAAGTTGCGAGAAAATTAGAATAAAGCTGGGGAAGCTGGTAGATAAGCGAAAGCGAAGGGAAAATGTGCACAATATTAGGTGCCTATTTGATTCAGGCGCAGGATTACTTTGTAATGGTGGAGAAAGATGCCTTACAGGAGCAGTTGGAAATCGATCATTTAAAGACAGAATTATTATGAGAAAGAGAAGGCAGTTATTAGAAAGAAAAATTGAAATTATGCTGGCACAAGCAAAAAAACCTCCTAGTGTTGTTCAGATTCAGAAGTTAATTACAGGTGTAGATCTTGAAGAGTGGGACAGAGATACTTGGGGAGAGTCTGATGAAAGTGGCTCAGAGGAAACAGAGGAACTGGAAGAAAGACAGGTGCGACCTGTCATTAAAACAGAGAGGCACACAGGTCCACAAGGTGGGAAACAGCGAACCACAGTCCGTACAACCCCCTGGATGGGATCCGAGCTCGGTGAGCTTCAAGTTAAATATTCACATAAGCCAGGTGAAACTGAAACTGAGTATTTGTGGAGAGTTTCTTTAACGGGGACGGGGGATCGAATTATGTTGAGTGATGAAAAGGCAGGAGGTTTCTGGGGTCCTGGAGTGTTTTTAAGTGATGGACCAGCGGGTAACCAGTCGATAACATCTTGAGTGGCTTACTGGGCTGAGGGTGTGGACCCTAAGGAGAGCAGAGAACCCGTTACCATTAAAGTAAATGGGACTTCGGAACTGGCGGAGGCAGTACAAAAGGCTGCTTGCATTCAGGCAATGTATGAGTGGGGTCGGTGCGGAATCCTGTTTGCAGCGCCAGTGGATCCCAGCCACCTTAGAGCTCTTATTAGAGGGCTCCCGGCTGCCTTAAAGATACATGTCCTGTCCCTCAGAGAAAGGGTGCAAAGAGCTATTGAATGCAACCAGCGAAAGCCTCCCCAACCCTCACGTACACGTCTTAACGTGGGCAGAAGTGTTACATGATCTGGTTGCTTATGGGTAAGAGATGGGCTGGACTGACCCGGGTGGGGGCGAAGATGGAAGCCGGAGGGTTCAGCAAGTCAGTCAGAAACTTTTTCCCAGGCAGCCTCATCATACAGACTTTAAACTGCCCCAGGGTAAATCAGGTCGATTTTACAATTCAAGAATGAATCATTTTTGGCAGAAGGCATTGGCACTGGGGGTACCCCGAGCAATATTACATGGGCAATCTACTGGTAACATCTAGAAGTAGGTGCCATTGCTGGAAGGCAGAACTCGAGAACAAAGGAAAAATATTAGGGTTTGATGTTTTGGTAGGTAAACAGTGGTGTTTACCAGACAGCAGTGTGGAGTTTTGGAGTTTGGGGGACAGAAATTGCCTGTGTCTCTCAATATCCACTCCCAACTGCTGCCAAACAGGGTATTTTTGAAGTGATTAATGATACTGAAAAATATTATAAATTGTGCACATTTCCCTTACAGTTCTCCAATGTGGCCCATCCACAAACCAAATAAAAAGTGGCAATTAACAGCTGATTATGGGCAGCTGGATGCCCATCCGGGCCTTTTGTCAGCTGCAGGGCCTGGCTGGGCTGGGTGCAGCCAGGTCTGGGATGGACTCTTTGTGTTGCCTTTGTCAGAAGCTGAGGTGACTTTGCTCCCACGTGGGACAGCTGGCAATTTACATTTGTATGTCTCTCGCTGACAATTGCTTGCTATGCACTGGCTCAAAAGCTCGCTAAAACCATGCCCAGAGAAGGGGTTAAGATCTCTGGAAACACCACCCCACCACCCCCCCTCCAGTAAGAAACTGCCAGGAAGCACTGTGTGCAGTTAGATCATTATTGCCAATCACAGCAGACAGGGAAGGAAACACCCAAATCATTTTAATCAGGTAACAGGAGCCACTTTACTGCCAGGGTAGACCAGAAGTGGGCACAACAAGGCATCAAGTAGGTGTTTCATACACCACATTACCCTCAAAGCTAATGGCATGGATGAGCGAATTAGTGGCTTGATCAAGAGACATGCCAATGTTTCATGACCTAACTAGGATATAAGGTTGGCACAAGGGGTTTTTATTATCAATAATCACAAGTGACATTATGTGAAGCCCAAAATATAAGCATTTTATCCTATGGGATTATCAGGTGATGATGCTACTATACTTGACAATCATAAGGGCCAGTTCCCCCTGAAAATATATGCAGGCCAACCTACCATGGTGAAGTTGCCCTCAGTTGGGATTGTGCCTATGACCCCAGTAAAATCTAGGGGGTTTATATGCTTGGGGAGGCCTTAGATAAAGGTAGAAAACCTCACTGAATCAGTGCCTGATGGATAACCCCTGGTATCTAATTTGATGCCCAGGTTCTGATCTGAGTCCTAGTTCTGTTTTTTTGTTAGGATCTTGAAGGAACAGATGACGTCGGTATCCTGCTTGGCCATGGGGATCCATATGGACAATGAAGACTCAGAAGACAATGTGGTGGTGAATAGACCTTGTGAAATTGGCAGCATTCAGAAGAATGTGATTGAACTTGGTGCTATTGTGTTAATATCACTTCAGGTCAAAAAAATGAAAAAAGTAATAAGAGACTTGAGGCAATTGTTGCCATATTAAGCATTAATTAATTGGATATGTTTAAATCTTCCTTGTTAGAATGATTAATCAGCTTCCTTCAATGTTGATTGTAATACATGGTATGGTTGGAGGGTTGGTTTCTTTTAGGATTTGATTGTATAATCATCTAGGGATGACAATCCACAATGAGTATAGAGATTCACCAGGACCACACTCCCTTTTAACCTTGGAGGCAAGAGATGACTGCACCACCACTTCAAGGAAACCAGCCAAATCATGACTGTAGTGACGAAGTGGATTGTGGCAGGTGCATCCACCCAATGAAAGCAGAGCTTCTTGGCTGCTGAGGTGTAGCAGCTTTGGGCTGCCTTTGTTCTCAGGGTCTTATGGTAACTGGGGCCTTTGGCCAATGAGAGCTGTTCTTGACTACAGGTCAGATTCAGCCTGGGTATAAATGGAGTCCTCTCGGGGGGCTACTTGGAGCTCGTCCCCTGGAGCAGCAGCTGCACTCTCCCCTTGTGTCAGGATGCTGCCCAAGGAAACTCCTTGAGGGGCCTTGGGTTGGAACGCTGCCCTGAGCAGGTCCTTGAGGTTGAGAGCCCTCACTTGTCAGGTGAATGATAAAATGTTTTGGGTTGTCGTTAAACCCTAGGTAGCAGAGCTCTGTAAGGCATTTGGGGATGTCGTTAAACCCCAGGGAGCAGGGCTTTGTCTGCGTTCTGGGTTGCCGTTAAACCCTAGAAAACTATTCTGTTCTCCTCTCACAGACATTCGAACCTGTAATTTACAGAGAGCTAGTTACCTGTGTTAATAATTTTTTATTATTTTCAGTGGCTGGCTGTTTAATTGAGAGCATCCGTAACAATACTGAATATCACAAGCACTGGTGGCAAGAGAAGGAAAGACAGTGCCCATTCAGTGAGGTGCTATACAAACAAAACATCCCAGATCAGAGCAAAAAGTGGCTTTACCTGTCTTACTAGCTCTAAAAATGTTATAGTCACCCATTCACCAGAAGATACAAGGCAGGAAGGGTATGGAGTGATGAAAGTTGAGAGAGACTAAGAAATCATAGGACTTCTTGCCTCTGTATTTGGCAACATCTATGATTTGGCCACAAACCAGTTGAAAAAGTCTTATACTAACGCTTTTTCAGGATGAAAATAGAGTACGGAACTTAAGTGTTACAGTGCTCCCAGTGAGTTTTGGGGATGTAGTTTAGAGTTGTGAATTGTATAAGGTGTACATGCTCTGGCTAATTCAAGGTACAAACTCAAGAATGAAGGAGGTTCACGAAAGTGGAATGTGAAACTTAATTACAGTTAAAAGGCAAAATACAGAATGCCATTTCACAGTAGCATCATGACACACATAAGTCTGAATCTTTCATATGAATTTGTCCAACACACCACTCTCCTCCTCCCTCCTCAAAATGACCCAAAAGCCTACTAACATATACACTCACTTCAAACAATGGAGAGGTCCAGGAGAAACTCTAGTTACTCGATTGACACTAGCACCATTCACAGTGTTGAGATGGACTTCAGAGATGTAGAGAGTTACAGAGGAGGACTGCAATCGTGTTTTCACAACTTCCAGTGGACATGTCAGAATCGCACCAACAGTACCTCCACATCTGCAAAAAGAAATAGGATCATCATATTCTTAACTACAAAGAAACTGAAGGATATATTCACATGTAATTAACATTATACTCAAACTGCAAAAGGTGAAGAAACAATTCAAACATGCATGACAATGCTGCACTTATTTGCCCTTGAAGGCAAACAAACTGTTAAGTCAGTTTGTTAACCCCACAGCTTGGAGTGAAAATTTAAACAGGCAAAAAAAAAAGTTTCCCAAAGTAGTGAAGGTGAAGTCTTCAGTACATGCTGTTCAAATCAGTTCTGGAAAGTAGCTCAGTATCTGAAATGTTTAACTTCTTATGGTAAATTTTAACTTTTTTTGAATGTTTAGTGCGCTTCTGACCACAAGGTGCCAAAAATCCTTAAGGGTAGAAAAGATTTATGCACTATGCACAAAGGGCTACAGGTAAAAACGGTAGTGTGGCAATTTAAAATACTTATGAAGACATCTTCAAAACCCCATTTGTATTTTGGCCATTGTACCATGAAAGCAATGATTTCTCTGAGTGTTTCCCAAGTTCTGCCTATTACAGCAAAACAGACTAGATACTGTAGAGTAGAACCTGGAAAGACAAAAGAGCTTTAAGTGGCTAACCAGACTTGCAGATTTTGCTTCAGTCTGCAACTCATTCCTGCAAGCAAGCCAAGGCAAGCCATGCATGACTTGTGCTGACAATGGAGATATTGCTATTCTGTCAGAGTAGAACACAGACAAGAACATACTGTCTTTTAGCAGCTCTGCTCAAATGATTCTTCTGGTGCTTTTTCATAATAATTTATTAATATCTACACTCATATCTGTTTAACTATGATCTCATACAGCCTGAGAGAAAAATAATCAAATCCACAAATTCTGATTCCAAAGACAACTCCACATTCCTTGACATTACCATTACAAAGAAGTGCTACCCTTGAACCTTTTCTGAGATCAGTAATCATAACTTTGTAAAATATCCTGCTTAAAACTATGACTGGACACTATATGCACACTTTAGAAAAAACAAAACCCAGATTTAATTTGGGTATTAATTAATGCTACTAACAACTTAGTCTGAAATCCACTAACACACAAGTACAATTTGTACTCAATTCAAAAGGCCCAGCATTCACTTCTCTGATGTAGTAACTAAAGGTGGTGTTCGATTCTGAAAAAACAGTTATCAGCTATTTTGTTTTAACATGAGAGGCTCAAATACTCCCAAAACATTTAAAAACTGCAAGACTTGTTCAACAGTATTTTTAAATGTCTTCCAAAATGCAAAGGAGAATTCAGTACAAATTAGGAGTAATCACTAAGACTCAAGATTTCCTAAAAACTTTCATAGGAAAGGTAGCTATTAGTCTAGCTAGCTTTGACTCTCTTTTGCTGCAGAGAGTATTATAAATAATGGTAGATGTTAACATAGCATTGCATCCTAAAATAATAATCTGTTTGTATGAATTGAAATGACAATACCAAACAGCTGCAAAGTAGGATGTTTGTGATATTCACTTAATGCTCCATTTAAACCTACTGACCTAGAGGTATCCTATTACTAAGTCTAAAATCATCTTGTGCCACCCCTAGCTCCAACATTAGACAGGAGTCTACTCTCTTCCAAGTTTTAATAGAGGAAAGAAATCAGGTTTCTTTGTCAGTATGGAAAAAAGTGTTCCCACAGAAGATGGAAAACAGTCTTTAAGCGTGTGCTGTACACATGCAGTAACAGACTGATACAGCTTTCAGAGTACCATAGTCAAAACATCTGAATGAACAATTCACTTGCTTACTCTTCTAATAGCAAGCTACAAAGAAGACTTTTTAAAATAAGAGTTACAGAAAGAGACAGACTCGATGTACTAATATTTTTTAGCCAGTGTTGGAAGCAGTAGCAACCTGTAACATGTTAAGGTTCATGGCATGAATTCCACATGGGAATCACAGGTAGGCCAGCCCTGAAAAGAACTTGACAGGGAGCTTTAGAGCTGGAGCCTCTTCAAGGCAGACATCAAGTGACTGTGTTTCCTGCAGTTCAACAGCAGACAGTGCTGTATGATAATGTGCCTGTACAGGTGATGTAGGAACTTGCCTTTAGACCTTCCTTCATTCCTTGCAACCCCTCCGTTTCCGATCACCTCAAGCCTACTCCCTTTAAGATCTTTCTGCATTTGATCTTGGACAGGTTACATGAGGACTTGTTTTCAAGCAACAGTAATGGCAAGAGAAAGCACGTGGTATGGTTTATTTTAGCGAGATAAATACTATGGAAGGGGGAAGAAAGAAGGAGGAAAAAACCTGGCCTGCATTTTTCAAGAGGGCTTGGAAATTGAAGCCTTTAATGTTACTGGCTCCACAGCTATGTTGCACTGGAAAAAATTTCCAAAGTTTAAGATCAATGCTGACCTGGTACTTATATCCTGCATCACATCCAAATCACCATAAGGAATGACTGACTGCAACAGCACTTGTCAGACATTCACTGTGGATGGGTTAGAAATACTCCATTCAGCAGTGGATTACTAGATTACTAGGGAAGAGGGCAGACAGACAGCTACTCAATGCTTGTTCTTTTTAAGTCTGCCTAGAACAAGTGTTGAGTGATAACCAGCTGATGTAACAGCATCTAGCACTATTTTTACATGCATCATAAGGAAACAAAGTTTCACAGTGCTATATGATTCTGTATTGCTCACAAACAAATCTTTTCAAAAAAATCACTAGTTTATACTTCTGTCAAAATGGCCTACCTCACTCTCACTGCCCTCAAAAAGCCCCATATAATACAGAAAGCATCTGGAACTAAAGAATGTTGAGGAATCAGACCCTGATCAGCAGTTACAAGATGCACTGAGTTTCAACTGAACTACCAAACAAAAGCATAATCCAGGAACTACACTGATTTATCTAGTTCACTTGAACTTTAAGATAAACACTGCAATGCTTGACAAATCTGTTTGAGAAACTGTCCATAAACATAGCTCATAGGGAAACAAAGAGAAACAATTCAATAATTATGAACCCTGTACAAACAAGCAACTTCTAAGAAGCATGCCAGCCATTCTGTCACCAGAATCAATGACTGTATTTTATTTATAAATATATTTCAAGCCTTGCTTATTTAACACACTACTTGAAATACTGTGAAAGACAGCTACTTCTTTGTGCTCCAAGTCCTGGCAGGCCATTAACAGCCAGCCACCAGCTCCAGCTTAGAAAAAGTATTCTATAAATTGTCAGCAGACTGCAACCAGCATTCCTGCTACCCTCCTCACCAGCTCAAATTAAGGGGTTTTTTTTTTTAGTTTGTGTCTTAACACAAATTGGGGAGTAGAACAGTTGGGAAAAAGATTTTGTAAGAGTTAGAAAATTATTGCACAGGTAGGATTTTGTAAACTACATAAGAATTTTCTACTACCTAAAACCACTGTGCACTTCAGCACCTTCAGTCATGTACTAGGCCCCAACAAAGGTGACTTGTGAGAACACTTAGTAAGGTGGAATTTCTCCAGGATTAGATAAGTTTTACCTGGCAGAGTGAGCAGGTAAGCAAGTACAGTCCAGCTGACATTATAAACTGGAACTGAGGAAGGGCAAAACCTGAGACTCTCCTGTGTCTGAAAGTTTACAGCAGTTTCTAATGAATGCTGTTCAGAAGACCACTTGCTCATCTTACCGATTCTAAATTTGACATTTGCTCTAATCAAGGTCCACTGCAAGCCTTCCTTTAGCTTTGCCAAGTGAGTATAAGAAAAACTTGCAAAGCTGACTTTCATCAGAAACACCTGATCATACAAGGGCATAAGAATCCACCTGTAGGTCCCAAGTAATTTGAAGGGCAGAAAAGAGCAGCAGATGAATCCACAAAAATAAACAGAGGTAAACCTAAAAGATTAAAATCTCACTACTATTAACACAGTCAAGTTAGAGAAAATCTGCAGCTTAAACTGTGCAAGAAGGCACAAGAAACATTGCGCTCAGTGAAACAAATACAGAGAGACATGTAGTTATCATCTAATCTGCAGGACTGTGATAAAACAGTAAAACTAAAACCAGTTGTATACTTGACATCTCTTGGACAGAAAGATTGAGGAAGATAGTAATGCTTTCCTAAACTGCATCTTATTCCACAGAGCATTAAAAAAATAATTAATTTGATCCCTATCGTGCATTTAGTCCATCACCTCACCAGATTAACAGAAATAAACCTGGAATTATTTGAGCTTTAAACTCTGCTAGCAATTCAACGTATATAGAACACTGACAACCACTTCCCTGCAGTTAAACCTTTATTTTTTTGTGAGACACTGCAAGGAAAGAAATATGCACATGCTTCAAAAACTAATCCTGTTTGGCATTCAAATCCCAGGTTCCATTTCCAGAAATGGCTGCACAAGAAAACCTTCTCTTATTATTGCAAGTTGAAGGTATCTGCCTTTGTCCAGAGTAGTTGAGTATCTTCTACTGATACCTTACACCCCTGCAAGCAAAAGCAGAGGCAGCTCCAGCATGGATGAGGGGCTCAATTTCAGCCACTGGACTGTTTCTAAATGCTCCAAAGCAGATTAATATTCCCGGTGCCAGTGTCAGCTGACCTAGAATTGAAACTGTCAGTGCAAGAATTTTTTTATTCCTTCAGGTAACTATATATTTCATAAAAATAAAAAGACAAAGATGCATAGTGCTAGTCTCAGATTCACCTTTCACAGTATTGGTACCCACAGCCTCAAAGATAACCCTTGACCTTGTTATCTTGGGTCTACAGTCATTCATGTATTTTACAAGCTGCTTCTCTTTCCTGCACAAAAAAAAAAAGAAAGTTCCATGCAAATACCGTCTGCCAAGAGAAGCAGCAAGGAAAACTGAGCTGAAAACTCTCAAAAGAAACCCCAAGCTACTTGCAAACAGAACTCCTTCTAATCTCTTCACCACTTACTGCAAATTCAGGTCTCAAATCTACCAGCAATTTCATAGAGCTATCTTAAAACACGAGTGACTTTCTCATAAACAGATAAAGTTCCAGGTTTGGCTATTAAGTTTACAGTATCACTTTTTTCAAAAGTATTTAGGGGCTTTTAGTTGTAGCAAGTACAATTGCACAAACAGCAAGAATGTATCTCATCAATCCTGAATAACCAGGGTTTTCCTGTTAACATACTGCTCAACTTGTATTATTACTCACCTTTCCATCTTTCACATTAATATGACAACTAGGAGTACTGGCAGCCAGAAACCCTTAACACCCTTATTGACTGACTATGTTTCTTTGCTGAAACTTAGAAAGTTGACATTAAGGTAACATCCTTAAAACCAAAAATACTAATCTAACTTGCTATTTCTAATCAACAGCATAAAAATAAAATTCCCCTGATGTACTGACATATACAAATCTACAGGTGAAAACAGGAAAAACACCACAAGGGGGACAAGCATCACTGGGTTCCATTATCCAAAACAAACATCAACATGTACAGTGTAGCTTCCATTAGAAACCAGCATAAATAAATATTTACAACGACATTTGTATTAAGTAAAAACATCTGAAACATCAGTCATCTAGAAGGAAATGAGAAACACACTAGCTTCACAATTTCTCAAGTACTGGTAGCAATTTTCATGCAATGTGGTAACCTCATGGAACAAAAACCCCAGCTGCTCTGTGCTTTAAACAAGCACAGTTGTATTCAGCACAGAAGAATACCTGAACACAAAAATAACCTGAAGTCTGGACAGGAAGGTACTAACCTTTTCCTATGCCTTGCAACAGCAAAAACTTGTTCCAAAAGACATCCATGGTTATGTCAGGAATGTATTTTGGGTTAGAGGGGAGCTCAAGTGACTATTTCTGAAAGAGTGAAAAAGCCCCTATCATCACACTACCTGCTATATTATTAACTAATATCTTCTTAAAATCAAAAACTACCAAGGCTCTTTCACTTCTACTTCATACATTTCAACAGCATCTCATCTTCCTGAAGAATTCAAACATTTCTCTTATATGTATTTGCAAAGTCTTAACTATTTCAACTACTGCATGGATTTGCTAAGAACCTCTGTCAGAGTGATTTAAATTACAGATCAATTTGAGATAGTTCTGTAATCAGGATGAATAAACAGAAACTGCACCCTATAGTCCCTGACATACTAAATTAGAAAACAGCCAACTTTCTGCAAGAAACACAAAGAGTAAAGAAGTAAACCTGAGATTGTCCAACCCTGAACTCACACAAACAGCTGTCTACCTCCTAACCCAGCACAGTCCCTCCTTCTGCCGAGGAAACAAAGCACAGGCAAGTTGCCATACCTTGATGGAAGTTTGTATGATACAGAATTCCTGTCAAATTTGTCATTTCCAGAAAAATCATGAAAACCTGGAAATTATTTTTGTAGTGAACACCGGAATTTGCATTCCATGTACCATTATGATTGCAAGCAGGTACATCCTAAACATAATTAATCTTTCCTATAAAGCAAAACATTGTCTTTCTACTACTTTTAATGTTAAGTAGTCTAAGAACTAGAAAAAGCATGTAACTAACTTATGTACTTGAACTAAAATGCTCATCTAAAGGCTACATTTTAATCACAAGACTTTAATTCAAGGATACAGAATGATCACTTGATTTCTTTTTGGTTTGGTATAAAAGCACCTGAGTTTGCACTATCAACACACTGTCTATAGTGACAGCAGTTGCTGTTTGACCAGGAGATGGAAAAAAATAGAAGGTATGCAAAAAAACTACAGTTTGATTCCTGAAACAGAAGATTTCCAAGCAATGCAACTGAGTAGCTCAGAAAAAAAAAAATAAAATCAAGAGTTTAATCTGAAGCACCTTTCTGTATCACAATCCAACACTACAAACACACTGCTAGTTTCTGGTCCCACAAGAACAAACAGAGCTGTGGTAACTACCTGGTTTGTGGAAACAGAACCTGACAAATAGGGGCATCATGAGAAAACATAAGCTAAGTGATCTCAGGTGTGTCACAGCGTGAACCTGAATTCCAGGTACACTATCAATCCACTGAGGTGTGCTCCCTGCAATTTCTCTTCAGTATAGAGCGCACAACAGCAGTTTTGAATATAGTCTAGAAAAGTATGCTTAAGTATCTTTAGGTGACAGCAGAGTTACTGCATGGAACCAACTGCTTACAAATTCTATCAGTTAAAACAGCTTTTCTTTAAGGGATGTGTTCTTAAAAGCTAGGACCATTTTACTATAAGTGTGATGCTCTTATGCTATCTATTTTCTACTTCTAAATGTGATTGCTGTTATTTTTACATAACAAAGTACATCGTATCTTTAAAAAGTCAAGAAGGTCTAAGTAGTACGTGGGGGGGAGACTGCATGTAAATGAAGTAGTACTTCATCGCTGCACTGGATAATGCATGAACTGGGCCAGCAAAATCATTTAGATGCTTTCTTTTCTAGAAAAAAAATGCACTTCAGTGATAGTGGTAGGGAGTACATTAAAGCCATTCTGAAATTATTTCTTTCTAGACTTAGTATTTGTATCACAAAATATTGGCTGTATTTACAATTAGTATGCAGTTATGAAACAGAGGGGATTCTTAAAAATGGAACTACTTGAGTAAGAATTAATTTAGCAAAACAAAGCAAGTAGTAATTGCTGAGTAATTCATTGCTAAAAGAGCCTAGAAAACCTGTTGGACAGGAATAAGGATGCAGAGGTAGGAAAAAAGGAATAAGGGGAAAAAATTAGAATATGAAGCTAGCTCCCAATGTAAACATTCTGAAATGGCCCACAAGTACTGCAGTTTTGACAGTTGTTGAATAGGTCATGAAACAACGGAGGCAGTTACAGAAAAATCCCAGGATGGCCCCACCTACATTATTAAACCAGCAACGTCATCAGTTACAGTTTCATTACCAAAAGCAGGAATTGAAAACTGAACTTAGACATTCAAAAAAACCAAAGCCAGCAGATTGAGATGTGTTTCCATACAGTCTCCAGTGAAACCTAAAGGAAAACAAAGCTTCCTTCCTTTTTAAGTTTCACTAAAAACTAAAGATCACTAAGGTGATCTATAGTCCACCATGCTCACAAAGAAGTCATGAGATGAACTCAAACAACTTTCCTACTGCTAAATGTGACCAAATATACAGTTAGCTTTGCTGAACTAAGGTTACAGGAAACACGTGGCTGGCACATGAGGAAATGGCATTCAGCCTTTCCCTGACAGTATAACCCTTGACCCAACTGGCCAGCAGCTATCCATAGACGACTCCACAAAAAATACAAGTGAACAAATTGACCTGAGCAATCTTCATCCAGTCTTAAGGTTCAGGTTTATAAACCTGTCTCTATCATTATGCACAATTCTGCCTAGTAATCACCTCTGTACAGAGCTATCAAGTTAAACTGCTACAATAAAGCAGCACTCCTACTGTTTTTCTGAATGTTCACAGGACGTGAAGCCTGAAGAGAAAAGTACACAGTACTACATCTTGAGCCTCCTGCTGCCTAATCACCCTCCTCTTAAACACAGTGCTAAAAATTAGTGGGGTGAAAAAGCACCCACATAAGCACTAAATCAAGTGCATAACACTGGAACACAAAGTGTGTTGGAAGCAGAGAAAGTGCTCACATGTATTCAACTCACCCAGACCTGCTCAGAGTAAACACTACATTATTCTTCCACCTCAAGACACCCCAGTCCAGAGGCAGTGAGTTCATTTTGTCAAGGAGGAGCACAAATGGAAATCCAAACACGAAGCTCTCTCATGGGAGGCAAAGCATGTTCTCAGTCTGTCACTACTTCCACAGGGTCATGCTCACCACCCAAGTACACTTTTATAGTTAAGCCAAACAGGATCCTCAGCTTTCTCTTCTAAGCTAGGTGCTCTTCTCACTCTATCCCTGGAGGGGCCACAGGCTGTGTAATCACATACGTCTCGGGCATTACAAAGCTTAAAAAGATGAAGAAAGACTAATACCTGCAAAGGTACAAAGTTACCTCAAACCTAACAAAGGGTACCAAAGGCCACACATTTACTTCTACCTATAATCTTCCCTCCAGTTTCTTCTGTCTTCATGGGTGGAAGGAAAGCTGCGTGACCACGGCAAGCCCACACCTAAAAGCAGTACACACCAAGGTGATAAAATGCATTCAAGTAGCACAGTGGCCCTTTGACACTAGCGTTACCAGGTGGTCACTTCCAGGCTGCTGAGCGGACTGACATGCTTGGGCAGCCTCTCCGATGCGGTGGGGGAGCCCATGCACAGAGGGCTCCGCGTGTTTCTCCAGATAAAGGACAAACTCCTGGAACAGCGATCAGAGGGAATAGGCTATTTTTAACGGAAACTTCCACCCCCGCTTCCCCCAAGGCCCCCGTACTACCCGCACCTTGCCCGTGCCAAAACGCAACACCGGGAGCCGGGCCTGGCTGGCCCCGCACGCCCGTGGCGTGCCCAGGCTCCCGGCGAGGGCCCGGGCGCCCT